GAAGAAAAACTGAGAGACAAGTGGTACAGAAGAGGCGAGAAGGCAGAAAATGACAGGGCAGGAACTGCAGCTAGACTGGTGAAAGGGAACAAGTGAAGATGAAGAGAGAGGAGGGTAGGGAAAACTCTGGAGAACTAAGAGGATAAATATTAAACATGGCTAAAAGGAGAAGTGGCTAAATTAATACTTTGAAAGGAAAATGTTAAAAAATACTGTTCTTCAAAGAGGATTAATTAGATCGTTATGTCCTTGGAGATCACTTTTGAAGAGGAGATTAGGATGGTGTAGAATTTCAGTTGTATGTAAGTGACACTTCTAAATGCTCAGACCATTCTCCAGATTAGTGTGAACCACCACTTTAACCTTATTGACAGCATTTGTTTGCTTAGTACTTTTTTCTTTCCTGTGGAGTAAATCTCAGCTCAGCGTCTTTTGATTTATTGCAAATTGTAAATCAGCCACAGCTTTATTAATGAGACTTTAGCAGATTGCCTGAGTTAAATGTTGATGAGATGAAAGAAAAAAATTACATATACATATATATTAAGTACATAGCCTTCAGTATTCTCTTAGCTGGAGATTAGAGAAAGATTCTGTGGGTTTTGGAGACGTAGCAATAATATAGTGTAGAGAATTTAAAAGCAATAATAACCCACCTGAATTTATGTCAGAATTAATTTAGTAAAATTAAATTCAAAGTCCTACAGAGGCATTTAGACTGGATCTCTTAGTTTTGACCAGCAGTGTTCAACCCCTGAGGTTACCCAAGACAAAAAGGCAAGAGTAAGTCAGCGGCCATTGTTGAAAATGGTTATTCAGTATGAGCAATATGAGAGTAGTGAACAGGGCGGATTGGAAGTTGAGATTATAATGGATGTAATGAGGAAAATAAACAATTGAGAGAGATATATCAACAGAGCTTTGAGATCTTAGAGGTTGAGGAGTTTTGAATGACTGGATCTCAGGGGTTTCCTGAGCAGTGGATAAAGCCTGAAATTCTCAGTGTCCAAGTTTGTTGATCAGAATTATAGTACAAACGATATCTGTCTGCTCCTCTTTCAAATCCTTCTGGTTCCCCCCTCCCTTGTTTAAATTGGACAGTAATAGATTAAAGAAATTAGCTAGTGGTATAGAAGGATGATTGGACCAAAATCTGAGGTATACGGTTCTTGGGCTTCAGTTTCTTTATCTATAAAATAACGAGTACAGGATATCCTTGGCCCTTTCACCTCTAAAATGCTGATTCTATAAATAAGAGAGTTTGAGTTTGGTGACAGCAGTAGAAGATTCATGCCTTGTTCTGTTCTGTTCCCTGAGTCCACCTGGAGGCGTAACCCTTTTATTTTGTTACTTTTTATACTGTGTTTCTTGGCATGCTTTGGTTCTGATGTGCTTCCGGCATCACTGTGTGTGGGTAGATGGAGAAGACTGAGTAGCAGGGTCATTCTGCTCCTGTCCCCCATTGTTTTTTATATATTGTGGTAGCTTATAAGGTAATCTTTAAAAAATTGTTCTATTTCAGTATACTTATTTCCATATCACAAAAACAGTGACTATGAGAATATATCCTTGCTAAAGAGCTTCTGTAGACCTCAGGCCTCCTTTGCAGGTGCTGCGGAAACAAGCTTCACGTTGATAAAACCAAGAGCTAGGTCCTGGGCCCACACACGCTAAAGTCGTGTTCCTTGGTGTGGCCCATTGACCTGGCCATCACGTGGAAACTTGTTAGAAGTCCAGAAACTTGGGCCCCACTCCAGACCTTCTGAATCAGAATCTGTGTTTTAACAAGAGTCCCAGATGATTCATTTGCACGTTGAGTTTGGGAGGCCCGGCAGCAGTCCAGATCTCATCCAGCTTCCTGGGTTCTTCACCTCACATTGAAGGACACATGGCAGATGAAGTGTGTCTTTAGGAGGATTGAGTTTGATCTTGACTGTTCTTTGGAAGGGTGGAGGAAAAAAGGATACTTGAAGTGTACTTGAAGTACACTTTCATCACAGTGTACTATGATCCTCTAACATTTGGCTTATATAGCACAGTTTTGTCAGACTTCAATCTGGCATCTCCTTTCATTTCCCTCTTACACCATCACATCCATATTAAATCAGCTTCTGGAAAATAGAGCTGAGTTGTAAATATGTCTTAAGCACCCTTGAACCATCACCTACCATTCCTATTCTCTTTGCCTTCTGTTTCTCCCTCATTTGGTGCTGAAATACTGAAACTGATTTTCATAGAATCAAAAGCTTGTTTAATTTACCATTAAGTGAAAATTATAAGGATTTTTCATATTCAACGTAAAATTTTTTAAGGATTCAGTTTATGGGTTATGTAATTTTTTATTTTATGTTTCTTTTTCACTTGTCACTTGATATTTTTATTCTATTTGATGCCTTACTTGAAGAAAAAATAGGAAAGAACCTGGGAATCTCAAATCACACACTTGTTTGGCTCTTCTGTTTTTGGTGGGGAAAAACTGCAAATATCTGCAAAAATATAATTGTGTATTCTTTAATGCAAAATAATTTTGTTATCTACATTCAATTTTCAGATGTTAAGGATGTGTGTGTGTAAGATAATAACATAAAGTTCATTTCATTTCCCTTCTAAAAACTCCATTATTTCTCTTAGTATTTGAGTTACTGATGCTTCCCCTAAAAAATAAATTCTACTTCCAGAATCTTCCATTTTTCCTTAGCTCACATCCTCCAACATAAGGTTGTTTCTGCACTGTTTCCCTACTCTGTCCTTACCAATGGGCCTTATCCAGGAGGTAGCCATCATTCATGGCTATTAACTTATTGACTGACCTGGTAAGAAGTGCACCAGAATATCTCCATGTGACTAACTCTATTCTAAAATGTAAATGAAAGATTGATAAATTGTCAAAAGTATGTGATTGACAGTCCTATGTGTTAGAGGCTGAGGTCACAGCTTGCAGATGCTTTCAGTGCAGCAGGGATCACTGGGCCCCCAACCCCTCACCCATCCCCACACTGTCTCTAGTCTCCAGAAGAGATTCTCAACCACCTACTGTTGATCATGCAGAGATTTTCTTATCAGAAACTTATACCATTTTTCTTTGAGAAATTATGTATCACTGCCTTGCAGCTGGTTTATAAAGTTCTGTATTAACCAGTTTTTAACATTTTTATAATATATTTACAGTTAAATAATTTTTATATTAACTAATCTTTTGTATACTTTTAATTCCAATAGATTAAAATAGTAATATTTAGATATTTTTAAAATTTTATGTGTATCACACCTCTAATTTTATTAAGCTTTTTTATCAACAAGTTAATGATATCTGCTCAAGCTTATGATATCTGCTCTTAGCTCTTTAAAGTCTTCTGTTTGTCATCCTTTCTTTAATCATTTGGATTAAGGATTAGTTGATATTTGTTATTTGTTGAGTCATTAATAAATGAGAATTTTTATGAATAACAAGTTTCTGAGAAGAAAACAGATTTGCATAGACTATCCCCATACTGAAGTGCTGCCTGCTTCAGCTCCCCTCCCTTCCCCTCCCCTCCCCTCCCCGCCCCTCCCCT